TAAGCATTGAATAACAACTGTGCTTCCTTTTGTTTCTCAGCTTTTAGCATTTTCCACAAAGATACCACATTACACAGTAACTAACAAGTCGGTCAGACCAGTGGGAGGGAGCCCAGTTAGGACCCTCCATTTCCGTACCCCTTACATTGCTACACTGTCACTTCAGTCTCCTACTGTAGAAATGAACAGCTGAAAACAAAATAAACCTTTCAATCACTGTTTAATGCAAGAACATGTTTACATCTTCTTACACTGTTTCTGAAATGTCAAAATTGCTGACCCTCATGAAACAATGGTTTCTTGGCTTTTCAAATATTCAAGCCTTACCTTCACTTTTTGCAAAAGTATTGCCAACTGTAAGCCACTATAGAGGGGTTTTTTTTTGGAGGGGGGAGTTTATTTTACAGTCCAAGTCTTTAACAATTGGAGACCTACTGGTGATATTGATATGAATTCAAGCAATTACTTGCTATGACACAACAAAATTGGTCCAAATTAAAATGGGATTCTGAAGATGAGGGTGAACATCTGATACTCGCTCTTTTATTAAGACACTGGGACTTGTGAAAACATTCAGTGGAGAGCGTGGCTCATCTCTGGCAGAAACTTGTTCATGTCCTCCCTCTTCCTATCTTCTGCTAATTAGGCATCATTATTAACCTGGTATCAACAAAAGAGACATCGTTAGGCATGCTAATCTCTGTGAGAGGTACAGGCCAGAGGCTTTATCATTCTGTTCCCTTTTATTCCCTTTTCTTTCCAGAGTCCCCCTCAAACCATGGAACCACTAAGGAGGAACCACAGGAAAGCATCAGTCAAGACTGATATGTTCTGTCAAAGTGTAGGATTGGGGATACAGGTACCACAAGAATGCAGATAGAGATATCTGTTATTTTCTTTGTTTCCTTTTTTCCTTGTTTCTTCAGTTTTATGGGACAAGGAACTATTTACACAGACAAAATAAAATGAACCTACATCTTTTCATCTTATAGGTACTATGTAGGAACTGAAACAGGGAGAGGGACTACATGGACTTTTACTTTTTCTGTTTCATAAAGAGATTCCTGAGGTGATATAGAATTATGTAACTTCACTGAAGTCCATAGATCTCCTGTGGTTTATGCTTTTTGTGCATCTCACTCACTGGATCTAAAGCAGAAGTGTATGAAAAGAGAAGAAATTACTGAGCAAACTTATGCAGGAAAAGTGCTGTTCAAATACCTGCTATGATAAAACTGCATGTTTAGATCTTACCATGTTCTTGGGAATAGTAAACCAATTTCTCTCAGAAAAAAAAAAATCCTCATATCTCCCACTCATAAAACTCTTACCTCAGATTGCTCAATTTTGCATATTGCAGTCTTCCACTATTATTTGGTTTACAGCATCCTTTTACCCAGAATAACAATTTTTACATCAGTTATAAAAAATGTTGCTATAGATCAATTTTTTCCTTTACTTATTTTGGCCATGCAAAATAAAACATCAGTCTGGCATTTGTGTAAGGACTTTGTTCTATTCTGTTTAAAATTCCTCTTAACAGAGTCCATAAAACTATTTTCATTTCACAAAGCATTTTAGAGTTTCTTATTCCTATAATTTAAAACAATGAGCTATTTTGGGAGGAGCAGAACAGGGTGAATTACATTTAAAATTATTCTGCTGTTATGCATTTGTAGCTAAAAAAAATTCTAAGTTATGTAATAAGAAAACAATAAATATTAAGAACTTCTGCCAAAACCCAGGCAGTATTACTTGAGTGGATGCAAAAATAGTGCCATAACAGAGGAAAAAAAAGTCTCACCTCAACCTGTGGGACAAAGGCCTACGGGTGAGAACACACCAACAATGTAACCAAATAAAGAAAATTAAATAGGTAGGATCTATTTTTATTAGTTTTTTGTAATCTCAGTTTCAAAATTCAGCTCATTTGGTGAGAACAAGTCAAAGGCAAATTTGAGATTGACTATGTACTTAGAGAAATCCACTTTTCCACTTGCTCAGAGAAAATAAACATGCCATAAACAGCAATGAACAAATAGGCTGGTAAATATATATATGAGTACAAGAAAGAGTTGATAAATGGGCACACTATTTTGTCTAGTGATTCTCCATAAAATTTTTTGTACTACGGATCAAATGTAATGACTGAAATTCCTTACAAAGGAGACTTGTTACCCCTGCTACTTTGCTACTGTTAGTTCACATAACTACATTTAACATTTGCAATCCTGAACTAAAGCAAAAGCTGGTTCCTCTGGGCAGCGGAATTATGCCCATGACAAACGCACTTGTACATGCCAAGAGATAGTGTCTCTTTCACACAGTTAGTGTGCAAGACAATTTTTTACTTCTAGTCAGCTATTAAAAAGTCAGAGGCATATTTTCCTTCATAGTTATGATGTAAAAGAGAGTAATACATGAACTCAAACTGGACTACACACACACCTGCCGAATATGACTAACTTTTCTTTCGCATCAAAAAGCTTTGTTACAAGTAACCTTCACAACACTGCTCTTTCCCAAAGAAGTCATGCTCATAGGGTTCATAAAAGCAAAAGAGGAGCAAGTTCTCATCAAACTGAACCTCGTCCCCTGAGCCCCCGCCTGTTCCCAGGCACACTGGGGCTCCTTTGCAGCCCAAGACTGACACCAGCGCTCAACGCAAAATGGCACAAGGACTGGAGAGGTCATCAACTCTCAGGGGCTTGGTTATGGCCATTGGTTTTACATGAAAAGCAGGAGCTACTCTCAGGACAAGGCTTTAACTCAATAGATCTTTTGAAAAAGCAAGTCCGTCCTTCTCCCTGCCCTCAGCTGTCCCAGCCATTGCCCCTCACAGCCACTGCCCCTCAGGGCACCTCTGCCCGCAGCCCTGGCTGTGCACAGGACACCTGCCCCTCTCCTGGGGGGGGGGCTGGGAGCCGGCCGAGCTGTGTCCTGCCTGCTCACACCACGAGAACAAAACATGAGCAGCATCAGAGTCTCAGCCAGAGCGCCTCGGGCACACGGACACCCCCCCCCGGCTCCAGCAGCACAGCCCGGCTGAGGGGAGGCCAGGCCATGGGGGCAGAGGGCACAGCGGCGCTGAGGGGCTGTGTGGGCTGGGGGCTCAGAGCAACCACGACACTCCAGGTCTCTCCTGCACATTTTCTGATAGTTGTCCTTGATGCTGGAGTAATAACTTGTGAACCTGTGCCTAAACGTTGCCCTTTCCTCACTTCTCTGAAAACAGCCCGTGTTTCTCCTTAGATTGAGACAGCTGCAGGGTTTGTTCTCTGAATCTATTACTAAAGAACCACCAGGAAGGTCTGCTTAAGCAATTCTCCTCCCTCAAGGAAGAGGTTGAGTTTGAAGTCAACTAAAATTTCTTCTACGTTTTCCCCAGGATTCCCTTTTCATCTAGGAGCAAATAGGTAGGTCCCAAACTCAACCTTTTTATTTGGACACATGTAAACACTTCCTGTAGATATGCTCAGCAGAACAAATGATATGGTATGGTATGTCTGCATCAAAAGGGCTCAATTCAGCATCAAACCACATCCTCCTGCACAGGTTGTGCCTCCCTTGGCTGCAGCCTCAGGTCCCACACGGTAGCACTGCCCCGTTCAGAGGGCACGCCTGGGACTGTGGCAGGCAGGGGACACTCAGGAGCGCTGAGGCGTGGTGCTGACGGGAACAAAATCCTGGGTTTTCACAAAGCGCAGCAGAAGTAGACATTGCTCCTGAATATGGTGTTTTCATGTGTACAAAACCAACTTTTTGCTCAACCTAACACCAGAACTATTTGAGTGTCTGCAACAGATGTTCACTTCATCTCACAGCTGCTCAAACTCCAAAGCTTTCCCTCCAGAAAGAAAGGCTTCCAAAGCAGCCCTCCTCTTTGTGAACACCTCCGTCTCAGAGAAAAGGCCCATCTGTGCTAAAGACATGAGTTTCCAAAGAAATAGTCCGAAGAAACATGTTCCAGCAAAGATAACAGGCATCACAGAGTGCCTTCAGACCTCCTTTTGGATGGGTTTCTTTACCTTTCTTGGCAAGTTAATCACACACACGACTCCCTTGTTGACTCAGGCGTTAATCTCTATAAAACCGGCCGAGCTGTATCTTCAGCAAGCTGAGAATAATAATGAAACCCAAATTATTTCCACTTGTAGTTTTGAATAATCCAGAGGCCGCAGAGCACTGGGGTTTTGCCAGGAAGGTGGGCGATTCCAAGTGTGTTCCCTGGGTGTCACTTAAACCCGTCACAGCCCATCGGATCCGCACACGAGCTCCATCCCTGCGGCCCCGCTGCTCACTTGGATCACTCTTTGGACCTTTGGGCAGGTCAGTGCCTGTCAACTGTCCCTGGCAGCGCAGCTCTGATGTGGGTGTTATTAGGAATAAACAGATGTTCTTGCAAAGTCTGCAGCGTGGCTGCATTTGGTGGCGGGAAGTGACAGGTTACTGGTTGTTCAGTTTTGAGTTATAGAAAGGTGCAGTTTGCCCAGAAACAAGGGGATCGTGGAATGGGGGACACATGGTAGGCGTCGAGAAGGCTGTAACCCATAATACCTCAGCCAGCGAGGAAAGGGGGACGGACATATCGGACAAGGGGATAAAAGAGGCTGTGACCTTCATTAAATTGAGAGACCTCACTGGGGACTGGACAGTGAAATCTGCCTTTTATTCGAATGAAAGTTTAGTTAGCTCCTCTGCCTCTGGGATATTTTTGAGGCTCCTGATAACAGCAAGAGGCAGGTATTTTTCAGAGCGATGTTAACGAACCCTGCCCATCCCTCACAGGCAGACGGGCCGGCGGAGGCGCCCGCGCGGGGCGCTGCGCGCTGCGACGGGGCGGAGGGTGCCGGGCGCGCGCCCCCGCCGGCCAATCGGGCGTCTCCTCGGGTTCCCGCGCGCACCGCCCACCTGCGGTTGGGGGCAGGGCCGAGGTGCGGTGACGTCACGGGCGGTGGCGCCCAGGCCCCGCCCCCCGGTAACGGGCCGTGAGGCGCCGCTGTCACCGCGCGAGGGGACGCGGCCGGGCCGCCCTCACACAGCGCTGCTCCTGCGGGGACACCGCGGAACGGCACAGGGGAAGGTCTGCGTGCGTGATATTCTGAAAAAAAGGGAGACAGCGGTGTTGTGGGGGTGTTGGTTTTGGGGTTTTTTTTTTGGTCCTCGTCTGTTTGGATTTCTTTCTAAACTTATGAAAAATGGCAACAGCAGCATATGTGGACCATTTTGCGGCAGAGTGCCTTGTTTCCATGTCAAGTCGTGCTGTTATCCACAGTCCCAGAGGGGAGCCTGATCCCCAACCTGGTGAAGCAATATTTCCTCCATCCAATGGAGAAGATAAGCGGGAAGTCAGAGAAGCCGGGAAGGACAATGGACCCTCGTTACTGGTGGTAGCCAGCATTTTAGCAGACCTGAACCAGCATGTCCCAAACTCACCTGCGCTGAGGATGGAAAACACGGAGAGCCTTGATAGAACAGAACAAATACACATTTCCATTGCTCCTAAGGAGTTTGGGGAAGAAAGTGTGTCTTCGGCTGGTAAGCATGGAGGAGAGCGAGCAGCCACACCTACCAGCCTGGCTGCAGTCACTGAGCCAAGCCCCAGACAAAAGAACAAACGCATAAGAAGCTGGACTGACCCTGGATCACCCCAGAAAAAGCACAAATGCCACTATGTGGGGTGTGAAAAAGTTTATGGCAAATCTTCCCATCTTAAAGCTCATCTAAGGACCCACACAGGTTAGTTACGATCCAGCCAGAGATTTATTTGTTACAGCTTGGTAATTAAAACCAAAACCAAACAAACTTGTATTTGGCCACTGTTATGGTTTCACCTCTCGGAACTCAAGCTCGGGAAAGCCAAACGGCAAAAAAACCCAAAAAAACAAACCTCTGGGAATAAACCCTTACTGGGCATAGATTCAAAGCTAATGTTGCCCTGTTTTATTAATGTCACAGGGAATGGCATGTGGGTCATCTGTGTGGATTGTACCAAGCTGTAATTTTTAGCTGCTAGCCTTCTTGTTCTGTGTGTCTTGTACTTCCCTTTCCAATACTTCTTACCTTCTTGTTTTTCCTACCCCATGCTCCCATCACTATACCATGCTTATCACTTCCCATGCAAGCTTTAGTATTCTTGATATTTTAAAATTAAATGTTCTAGAGGCACCTAAATGGCTGTGTGTCTGTTTCTTTCTTTAGCAGACACTTTGTGAAAGCTAGAGAAAGCAGAAAGGCAGATGGAGAGGCTGAACACCATAAATGAAGAGAGAGGGGGATAGGGGCAGTCTCTGAGAGGCTTTTGACAGCTGGGTAAAACCAATTTAAAACCAAAAAACATTGGAATTCAACCATTAACTTGTACTCATCAGTGCTTAGTGTTTACTTCTTGCTGAAGACTTATCTGACCACTTTTTTGTTCCTATTCTAATTTATGAGACACACCCATAGAAAAAGTGGAAGTCTTGCAAGCACTGTGAAAGTTGTCCTGAAAGTATTAGGAGAGCCATCTTGAAAGAGGCCCCAGGCCTGGCCACACCTCATGCCTGGTGCTGGGGAACAGGATGGCTTCAGTCAGACGGGGACACCAAAAATTGAGGAGAGTGGTCTCTGCTGAAGGCACAACCACAGCACATCTGCTGAGGCACCACAGCGACCAGAGCAGCTTGTGCCAGGTTCCACTGCCTGATTCCAGACAGCACATTAGTTCACTGGGACGTACGGTCAGTTCTCTTGGAAGGAGCAGTAAGAAAGAGATCCCCAGAACTGAGCATGACTTAGCAACTCCTGAACGGTTTTAGCTCAGAGGTGTCAACCTCACCCACCTGGCCAGACCTTCAGTGTCCCTTCGGATTCTCCTGTTGCCTTCCTGAGATAAAGCAAGAGCCATTCTAATTTGAGGGCGTGTTTTGCTCTGTGGGGGAGAGAAGAAAGCCCCATCAAGTTTGAGCGTATGGATGGACAATTCCCCGTGGCACACAGCCAAAGGAACAGCATGTTCCTGGCACCCCAGGCAGCCTGTCCTGCTTTGCACTGTGTAACTGCTTTTTGCCGCCTTGGGAGCTACACAGAAAAGGTGCTTCCACTTGGCTTGCAGGAAATTGTCTCCGTTAATTTTCAGTTCTTTTGCATTCTTATTGCTGGCATTTGCCATTGTCCTGAAAGCGAAAGATAAATTTAGCGATGTTCCTGGGCTCCCAAAGCAAGCGGAGCCCAAGAAGGGAACTCGTGTCCCTGATAAAGCGGAGGGCTGGGCATGGGGAGAGGAGGGGGGAGGGCAGAGCCGGCGGGGAGTGCCGGCACGGCGGAGTCATTCGGGGACGCTGGCTCGCCTCCAAGTTCTCTGATTTTTTCTTTTTCCCGTTTTTTTTTTTAACTCTTAATTTCCTGTATATTTTCCAGGTCTGTAGGGCTCGATTGGCTATTGCTGTAGCTAATGGCACAGAGAAGAGAGCATGTGCGTGTGTCTGAGAGCTAAAGGAAAAGCAGGGAAGGGACTGTTTTTGCCCAGGGAGTGGCAAGACCCTCGGGGACTACAGCTTCTTTGTTTTCTTTCGTCTCCAGTGTCTGTGTGGGAAGCTTTAAGCAAAGCTGCCAAGTTTCCCTCCTCATTGGCAACAGGTCTGTCTCTGTTTGGATTGAGTTTTAAACAGGCTTAAATGCCTCTTACTCCCCTTCCAGAATGTTTTCTAAGGTGTTGGGATTTTTTTCTGTCTTTAAAAGAAATTGTGGCAGGCTTGAAAAAAGTTTGTAAGACACTAAGACTTAAAAGCTAATAGAACAAGTGATGACTTCCAGGACTAGCAAATGTTTGCTTTTACAAAACACATAATGGGTTTTACTGATGTAGAACGAGGGTTTTGGGTCTCCTGTGCTTTCCAGTGATCCTGAACTAGCTGAGTAAGGCATCAGTCTACCTGTGTGTCAGATGGGTAAGGGGATGGGTGTCCACCTCACCCTGCAGTGCTGAAAGGACACCAGGGACACAGAGAAGCTGCTTTAAACACCAACCCAAAGAACTGCCAAACCTATTTACTAAGAAACAGTCAAAACCCTCTGCTGTGGAGTGGAGCTTCTTCCATTGCTGTATATGACCAGGTGAGCTGGTATTTAGGGGTGAGCTGAAGGCTGAGAACAGTACTGCAGGCTAGAGATGATGATCATGCAAGAGATACTTGAACAGAGCAGTTTATGACCTGCTTTAGAATCTTCCTTGTCCTTGTCTGCTGCTGTGCTCAGAAACTAAGGGCTTTGCTCTTCATGCTTGGAGGAAGGATAGATCCTTGACCTTGTGGTGTGGCAAAGAGATACAGAGCTTTCCAAATACTCCTGGGTCAAATCCAGCCCACGTTGATAGGGACTGAGAGCTGGTAGCGTTTTCCAGCTGTTTGGTGCCCTGTGTGAAATCCTTCTGATAGTTATAGCTAGATTTCAGTGCTCAGTTATCTAAAGCAAAAACCATAGTGCAGAGGATGCTAATTATCTTATTTAAAGCAAAGGAAACAAGGTGGAAAAGCCAAGGAAGTAGCGTCTGCCTTTTATCCTCTACTCAGAGTACAAAAAAGTTTTAGAATTAAGTACTTGATTAGCACAAACTGTGGTGGGCAATCCATGGTTTCTGGTGCACTTCTTTGGTACTCCAGTGGCTAAGCTGTCTCAGCCTTATGAATACTTCATCTTTATTAAATTGCAAAGCCTTGCACCAGGCAGAAAACATTTGTCACCAAAATCTTTACTATTCTCTCCACCAGCTTTCAAAGTTCCCCTTCCCCTATGTGTCTTTTCACATTTATGTTTTCCACCCTACTTTCTCACTGGATGTCCTGGCGTTCAACATAATCATCAGCCACATAGCCCCTGAAGTTTTAATGTTTACCAGGAGGTTATATGTGGTGTCGGAGGTAGATGGCAAGTCCAAATTCTTGTCCAGTAAGGTTCCTGTGAGTCTCAGAAGCTGTGTTGTGGTGCACAGATACAGCACCCTGTTTGTCCAAGCTATACTGACCCCACTGATACAGAGAGTTTCATTTCCATACTGGTTTTAAGAATTCTCTCTACTCCTGAGAAAATTCATAAACACAAAGGACTTTCAGAAAATCAGATAAATCAGACTAAGTTGTCCTTCCTCTAAGCAGGTTTTCATCACAAAGGTTTGGAAATTTTCCGAGTCATTGGAAACCACTTTGTCTCTTGATGCACCAGTGGGAAGAGGGAGACGGTGCAGAGCCTGATAGCAATCCACAGGCTACAATCTTATAAAGCATTTTGCAGGACCACTACGTTCTGAAGAGGTTGTAGAGAGCCCCAAGTTACTGCATTATACCATGCATTTATATGTAGAAAAACAGACTGGATTTGGGCCAGGGATCACAAGAATCCTGTATTGCAGCTCCTCTCCAAATCACTGTGACCTCTCAAGCTTTTAACCATCTTCATTAGCATGGCATCATGAATGCAGAGATTAAACAAAATAAACCTTTGTTTAATTCCATCCTTCTAAAGTCAGTCATCCTACTCACTAAGCAGCACATCATAACAGGAACAGCTTTTCAGGAAGTCATCAGAACTAAATGAATTTGCACAAATTAGCATAAACTTCTGGAGATGTGGGCACCAGTCTCAGTCTGGAGTCTTAGTATGGGAGAGTCTTGCAGGAAAACAACTTGTGGGCCTTGTGGCTTAACAGTGGCTCCTCTGTACTACTGCTAAACTGGCTCTATGTGGCTGTTGGGTCACAGGAAGAAGAGAAGGCCTAATTATATGACCCTTGCTCATAGATGTCAGGTTAGGACTCATCCAAGAGAAAGTGGTCAAGACCTGTGTCAGTCTCTATCTGACAGAGTGAGCTTGGGCAGCTCTGTATTCTCTGCTTAGCCTTACAGTTAGGGAGGTTTTGTTATTTGGCATCCATTATTTTTAGTCTAACCCTTATTCCTGAAATATTGGTTGAATTAAAATAGGTAGAAAAGACTGATTCATTTCCATTCCCTTGTAAAGAAGTTTTCATTTCTTTACATTAAATCTCTATAAGCACATTTTTGAGGACAACACTAATGAACCCTGATGAAAAAGTTATTTTTTAGCTTATGTGCTCTTTTATTGCATCAGTTATTTTATCTCGTTTCCCTAGGCAACATTTTTCTGATTATTTTGTAGCTGAGATATGTGAAAATGGAGAGTTTAATAACGTATTCGGTATTTGAAAGCAATCTGAGAAATGAAACTATCAAACCTCATTGTGACAAGTATGACAACAGCATAACAATTGGGCTGGACAAACTGGAGTAGAATACAGCCTGTGCTCAAGTTGGTAAAGAGGCCTTTATATAAAGTGCAGATAATGTGTTTTGAATAGGGGCTTGGATTTCACTTTCAGTTCTAGTATTACGTTAACACAAAGAGTAAAGCACAGCTTCCTCTAAGTTCTGAATGAAGATGCAATCTGTGTGTGTGAAGAAACCAATTAACCAAGCAAGTTCTTGTATCAGTGAAATAAAGTTCATATTCCGTTTTAGCACCTGGCATTTACCTGAAACATGGCTAGTTAGCCAAAAACCATGAGGTTTCCTTTAGCTTGCCTTAGGCACACACTGACTCCCGAAGGGCTCACGTGCAGCAAGGGCGCAGTGCTTGTGGAGACCCAAGGCTTTGCAGGAAAAGATTACCAGAGGACAAACCTAATTTAATGCCTTCAGTGCCTGCAGATAGCTCTTGTACAGCAGGATGAAATGAGTGGGTAC